AAACTATTGCAGGATAAATCAATTCGTGCAAAGCAGCCAATGCGAGTTCTGCTCCTTTTGGGACTGTCCCTTTAATTTTGGGTTGAGTGCAGGCGGGCTGCTGCACTTAGCCATTGTGGTCTGTAATAAAAATGATTTTATTTAAAATTTTATTATATGATTTAAAAATTTAAACAACAGAAAAATTATCTGTTGGGATCAATTTGCAAAGATTGTTATTATACACAATATTTTGTATTGCTTTGGGTGAAAATTAACAAAAAATCTAAATGAAAATATTTTGATTCTCTTACTATCTTATATAAAAAAAATGAATCGCAAAATGTGTTGGTAAGTGCATAACTCAACAACGCCTGGACCAATTTGGCCAATATTTTTTAAAATGTTCTTTGAAGTCCAACGATGGTTCTTACGGCGAGAAAAAATCGAAAATTGCCGGGAAAACCCTTAAAACAGCCCTTTTTTTTTCTCATACAAACGTTTTCTAACTAAAACGTGGAATCGATTTGAGCTTTATTGCTATTATATAAAGTTCATATTAAAATTACAAGCACTCACTGTATACTCCTTTTATACGATTTATTCGGATTTTAATACATTTTTCTGAATGAGTCTGTTAAGGAAATTTTCTAGAATGTATGTGATTATAAAGCCCTGGGATGTATGTGCAATATTGTAGAAATAAATGAAAAAAAATGCAAATAACGACATGTCATTGTTGGCATTGAAAACAAATAAAAACTATTATCTGCCAAAAATTTCAATTACTTATGAGCCTAGACAGTATTAGAATATGTATAATAAATTTATGATTATAATAAGAAAAATGAGTGTCTACATTATTATTGCCAAAAAGCAGCTGAGATGTGCCAGAAATTAAAATAATATAAAATACAGTATAGGTATGGCAGATACACATATGAACAGGATGTGACAAATTAATTTACTTAAAATATGAAATTAAGTATTATCAGGGCCGGACCTACCTTTGATGCGATGCATGCAAAAAATACGAGTGCACGTCTTAGGGGGCGCCAACACAAGATTTGGATGGATATTAAATTTTCAATATCATATATATAATATAAAATTAAACTAATTTAATCAAACATTAAAAAAAATAATATTATATTTTAGATTAAACGGTAAATATCAGTATATTATATTAAAAAATTGTTGACATGGGCACAGGACAACGTCTGTCGGGTCATCTAGTTAAAAATAAATTTACTATTTATTGATTTAATTCATTCCTGGGCATTGATGGTATTGTGGCGGCACCCTTAGACATATTTTATTGAACAACTCCATGCTCGAACTAGTTTCGGTCATCTAATTTTATCATAAAAATTTTCAATATCAATTCATTTTTTGCATTACTTAGTTCAGTTTTTTTCAGAATTCCAATATGTATATTTTAATTTCTCTAATAATAAAAAATTCCAAAATGTGGCTCGTTATATATTTTCAATAATGATGTCTCTTAAAAAAATTCTAGTAATTTGCTTTACTAGTATATGATGTATTTAAAAAATTGATTTTATTATATATTAAATTATTACCTGATATTACTCAAGTGGCATCGTTGATTATGCCAATTTAGCATAGTTGGAGTACTCGGAAAAAGAGCACTGTAAGTAACAGCATCCTCATTCGCCTTGGTTTGACGCACTGGTGACATCGTGACATCACCAGTCCTGGCTGCAACCACAGATCCTGCTGCATCTAAAGCTCGCTTATTTATCTTATATTCTGGATCAGGATAAGACTAGAAAAGATAAAGAAATGTGTGAATTTATCTATCATCTACTCTAAAAAATCTGTTTTTGCTTTAGGTGTACCTTGGTAGCTAACAACCGAGCCACAATCAGTTCATCCTGGTTCGCGGCGGCGCAAGCAACTGCATCCCCTGCGTCGTCCCTTGCTCCATGGCGCAAAAGTAACTCGACCAGCGGCAAACTGCGCTGTCTGGCCGCCTCCACCAAAGGTGATGATAAACCTGTAGAATTGCCGGAAGACCAGAAACACCAGAAGCAGCCGTTATAAGCGCAGACGTTGGCGATAATGGTGATGTTATCGGAGTTACGGCGGTGGTTGGTGTCGATTGAGGAGTTTGTGGAGCAGTAGAGTTGCGGATTGATGATTCATGATCAGACTAGAAAAATTCAAAAACAAATTAAACACTAAATCAGGCATATAAAATCTTCAATTATTACGTTAATTGTTCCCAAATCGTTGCCGTCAGTGACGCCTCCTCCCAAATTGGGATCTGCTCCAGCACGCAATAGAGCTCGTGCAACTTCCAAGTGTCCTCCACGTACAGCTGCTCCTAAGGCTGTTTCTCCTGCTCCATTTCGAGCACCAGCACCTGATGAATCGACTGCTGCGGTGCCGCAGAGGATATCTGGACGAAGGGGAGTCAGCATGCGTTCGTGCGGAGAATCCTTAGAAAATGATAATAAGTTAAGTAAATATTAACTTCTCGTTGGGTAAAAGTTATAGTAATCGCGAAAACAATCGAAAATAAAAAAAATTCTATATATGTACGTTTCATGAAAAAATGAATGTATGTATGTTTATACAATTTTTTTTAAAAATTTAAGAGAACGGAGCGTCCGATTTGAGTGATTCAGATAACATTTTGTTAATGGAGTGAAGAATTGATAAAATTTTTGGGAAGGCAGGTTCAGATACCCAGAAAAAAAATTAAAAACGCCATCGAACGCACATGTAAATTAAATTAACAGTACTTTATGTACGCGTGAATATAATTTGCAATTACTGTTTTGCTAAAAATAAAAATATTTGGCCCATGGGGGGATCGAACCCACGACCTTCGCGTTATTAGCACGACGCTCTAACCAACTGAGCTAATGGGCCGATGGAAAAGCACTTCGAAATTGTACACCGAGTGCGTACCGTGATTGTAAACATTTCTAAAAATAAATATCTTAAAATTATATATATTCATGTATTGGCGATAAGAGATTACGTACATTTTCATTGAATATTGCTACATTTAGATTACTTTTTTTACTTGGGATCTATTTTTGAGATGCTTTTATATTGAGAAATTGCTAAATTTTTAAAGATTATCTGATCTTAAGATAGATTAGCCGATATTAGGCATAACAAATATCATATAAATGCAAATATGTTCCAAAGCAACATTAAACTGTTGTTTTTAAGTCTCCTTAGAAATTTTTGCCAAAAAGCTGAAAAAACAAGATTTTGTTTTGTTTTTTTCGACATTTCAGGTCGTTTTGTTACAACATTTGAAAAAAACTGCAATACCTATGCGCTAGTCTTTCTTTTACGAATACTCGGTTCATAATTTCAAATCGAATTTCCATCGGCCCATTAGCTCAGTTGGTTAGAGCGTCGTGCTAATAACGCGAAGGTCGCGGGTTCGATCCCCCCATGGGCCAAATATTTTATTTTTTACGAAATAATTACAAAAATGAAATTACATTCACGACTTATAATATTACGCCCACCACTAGGCGGCCTGATATGCTTTTTCTATTTATATTAATCAAAAAAATTACTAAATGTCATATTTATAGAGAGTTGTAAATACTAAATGAAATAAAAAAAACATTTACGACTCTATACAGATACGTTAGGCAAAATTATAATAATATTTTATTTATTATGTAACAAATAATAAACACATATAATCATGGAGCACATTTTGTAAATTTATTGTATTTTTTTTTTTGTTTCATTTACAAAACTTATGTTATTTAATTTATTTTGTCACAATGACAAATATAATGTTACGTGAAAAATAAACACAAGTACTTCATATAAAAATATCGTTATATATAATAACAATAATAAAAGCAAAGTAAACAAAATGAAAAACTAAATATTTTTATTTCAAACAATATGAACAAGTGAAATTATAAAATTACATGCACTTATGTTCGCATGTATTATTTGATTAAGGCACTTAGTTTAACATTTGCCGAATTTATAAAAATATTTTTTTGTTCAGGCAAAACATTTAATGACTGTATATGTGTAATAACTGTAATGTAATTTAATTTAATGACTGCATTTAATGAAAAATTACTAATTTCATTCTTATTGAACTGTTATGAATTTGCAGCATAAAATTCATTTATCCCTTGATATGAACTTATCGATTAATAATTACTCTGTAATTATTTAGTTAATTAATTTCTGAAGGCGAAGTTTATGTTTTACGATTTGTTAGTTTTATGTTTTTCTCACAGTTTCGAGTCATTTTGAATCGTTCGAGACCGAAATTGGAAAAAGCCAGAAAGTGCCTAAAGGTCAAATGCCACTTACACCTAGTAGTTTAATATGCATACCTTGTTGTTCACAGCGATAAAATGAAAAAATTAAAACGGCTTCAACGGCCCATTAGCTCAGTTGGTTAGAGCGTCGTGCTAATAACGCGAAGGTCGCGGGTTCGATCCCCCCATGGGCCAAATGTTTTTTTATATCATAATATAAAAAAAAAAAAAAGTTTATCTGGCCTTATCGCTACGTATCTAAAACTCGAATCGAAATTTTGCGATTTGTTGAAAAATCATTTTGGGATTGCAGATTGTCATAGACAGATTTTCCAACAATGAAAATTCCTAACATTTGTTGAAATTTTTCCAACAAATAAAAAATAAAGAAAATTCGAACTATACTCGTTTCCTAATCTGTGAATGTATATATTTACTTATGTAAAATAAAAATATTTATGTGAAAATAAAAAAAAATAAATCTAATAAACGCCATGGACCATTTTCTCTAAGTAATTAAATAAATAAATAAATTACAAAATTTCAATAACTTCTTGTATTACTCTTTCAATTATCATTACCTTCGAATAATTTTAGACTAACTGAAACCTCAGTAGAGGTAAGAAAAAGTTCTAAATGAATAATAGACAAAATATCTATTTACAGCATTTAAGAATTCATACTAAACTTTAGTATTTTTATTTTAGTTTAAACTTTAATGTTAAAAATAATCATATCTGTTCAAGTTCCTACTTTTTCAATCAACATTGATGTAATTATTTCTGTAAATAAATACTAATTATAAAACTCACCTGTTGCTGTGATGAACCCAAACTCAATTTACTCATGATGTTCTGAATTCCTTCAGAGATTCTTCTTTTAATAGGACTACTTGGTGATGGTGTAGGTGTAGCCGAGGACGGAGTGCTGTCTTCATTTTTCTAAAAAAAATCATGAAAAATAAATCATTTATTTATAAATAAAAATAAGCATCTTTTTTATACCTCATGTGTTCTGGTAGCAGGCACTCTCCAGCCTAATAAGAGATCAACAAGTTTTTTATTTCCTAAAAGACTTGCCATGTATAGTGGAGTTTGCTTGGTAACATCCTGGGCATTCGGATCAAAAGCCAATCGCCATTGCCATCTATTTGACTGATCCCTAAAAAATAATCAGGAGAATCCGCTTATCTGATCCATTTTACCACACATACGGGGTAAAGTGGGACAACCACGGGGTAAACAGATGCAATTTCTTCTATTCAATTTTAAAGGGATATTGCGCTACATTATTGAACCAATGCAAAATATTAATTCTGTGGGTACATTTGTTACAAAGATAACAGTATATTACATTGATCTGCTATTGATCAGAAATATTCATCAGATGAGCCGGAATAATAATATATTTAATTAATCTCTTGTAAAATTGCTTTTTTTAAACTTTACTATTTTATTGCTTACATTGCCAAAGTTAAGGTTCAGCTGGTCCTTTTTATCCTACTCATATGCTGCTTATCTTCTGATAGCAAAGTCATAAGAATAAAGGAGATGGCTGATTATGAATTTATACATTTTTTGCCCTCTACTATCAAATATTTTTGTTAAAAAAAATCTAATTTTATTTGTTTACGAGATATCCGTGGCGGACCATTAATAATTGGTCTACCCATAAAAAACATACAAATGTGATTTTTAATGTAAGTAATCAGTAATTTTCGATTGATTTCTTTACATAATTTTATTGTAAAAACAGTCCCTAATGCTATTGTGCACAAAGACTTAGCAATTGCTTTCGTAGACTTGGCCACATCTTGTAAAATCATGTCAGTCATTATAATTGGACATAATTTTTTGCAAAAATGTGCCATTATAAACGACATGTCAATGTAAGCGATGTCAATATATCCGACTAGACACCTGTTTTTTAAGGAATTTATACGGAAACCAAACATCCTAGTGCGATTACGTCATAATAAGCGGTTGTCAATATATCCGGCGTCATACTAATCGGATTCTACTGTATATGAAATTACATATATGTTTATGATACATCTATTACCACTTACGTATATGTTGTTAAAAGGTGCTCCGGATAATGAAAACTTAACAGCAGCCGAACTACTTCAACATGTCCATTGATGCATGCAGCATGCAACGGAAGCCATTTTTCCATCGTAGCTTGCTAAAAATAAATTTATTGGTCAGTGAAGTTTTAAAAAATTGCTACCATGTATCAAGGTATTATTACCTGGACTAATTCAGGATATTTTTCCAACAACAGTTTAGCAGTGTTTACATGTCCATGATGACAAGCCGTATACAATGGTGTATATCCAGTTACGGGATGTGCCCGTGGTTCTGCTCCCTGCTGAAGTAGCATTGTAGCCATTTCAGTGCGACCTAATTGGCAAGCACTAGACAAAAAAAAATTATTATTAATATATGATTTTGTAAATTTGAAGTTATGTTTATACCTAAATAGAAGTGTATTGGTTCCTCCCGGAGCGCAATTAACGACAGCCTTCGCCTCCGGCCCAAGCTGCTGCAGCAGTTCTCGTGCAGCCCGCATGTCGCCGCGGGATACGGCGCAGCGCAGTGCCTGCTGCGCTCTTTCTCGCTCATCTAGAAAAAATAATCAAAATGGAAATATTATTTAAAAGAAATTTTCATGATAGTAAAAGATAAAGAGAATATTAGTTTTATGATATATAAATATTTTCTTATAATCAGTGTAGGGGCGTCAATTAATCACGTTATCGATTTTTTAAGGATTTTTGGACCTTCCTCCCACTTGGTGATACGCTGTGATATTCAAAAACGCCCTATCCGCCACTAAATATCAAGTGTATTTTTAGTTACGAGAAAAAATTATTAAGGTTATATTTTTTTTTGAAAATGTTTGGATGTTTTTAAAAAAATGAGGCAAAAATAAATATACATGATATCTTACTATACCCCTCTCTCCCCTACGTGATATTTCGTAATTTTTTGTCAATTTTTTGTCAGCTAATTATCAATTATGCCATTGAATTTTAAACTGAAGCACAACTAAATAATTATTAACAAAAAAAAAAATATTTTAGTTGCATTTGCTACGACTATAAAACATTGTATATTTAACATTTAAAAATCTTATAGAATACTATATATTTATTTATTAATTTATTTATTTAACGCCCAAGGCAGTAATACAATATAATTAGATTTTAAAGTGTACAAATTATAAACTTAAGATAATTTGTGAGAAAATTAGAGTTCATAGATAGCTTTGTATATATACATAACACTTAATATAAACTACAAATATATAACACTAAATAAAAACTAATAATATTAAACATTTAATAAACTTAAGGTACTACTAAATTTAAGGATAACTTTTCTGGCCTTATTGTTTATATTTGTCACAGACAGACCAAAGATATTTTGAGAAAAATAAAGAGTATGAGAGATGAATATTGAGAGAAATAAAATTACATTTTAAATGAGATTACATTTAACTTTGATGTAATAAGATGCCAAATAATAAGTACAATTTGTTAACCAATAATCCGTAATACCCTTAGATTATAAAAAAATAGTTGTAACCTATAAAACAATAAAAGAAATGCATTATATTATAATAACTTATACAATTTTAATTATATAATAATATAATAGTATACATAAGTGCATTTCATTAATTCAAATTTAAATTTCCAATTAGATTCAAACTTGCCTTCCGGTGCATCATCAAGTTCCTGCGTGAAGTATTCGCAAGCGTCGCACGCTAGTTCCGGTTTGCAACGTTTGCGTTTTAAATTTTTGGGCGGCATTTTTAAACATTCACTAAATTATTATTTATAATTATCACAAAAATATTGGAAACGGATACGGAAGCTCTGAGGAACGAATTGACATACTTGGTAAAAAATTGTATAAAAATATTAATAGAAAGGATTGTCATATTCAGGTAAATAATAAGGGAACAGGTCCCGGGCACCCTGATATCAGAAAAAGTCAGGCAGCCAAAAAGTTAGCACTATAGGGTTAAACATATTTATGTATAAAGTTATATGATTCTATTTATTATTATTATTATGTCATAATATTTTATTCTATTGGATGTTTCGATTCATCTGCGTAATAAATTTACCGAAGCGTAAAAAGCACAATGCACAGCCATAAAAGTGAAACTAAATACACCTAACGATTACAAATAACAACGAAAGCAATTAAGTTGTATAAAAACGTTATAAATCGTATATATATTTATGTAATTATATAAATTTCGCGTAATACGGTTTTTATTTTGTGATGTTTCAACGACCTAACCTACAAAACAACGGAGGCTGTCATTTTCGAAACGAACCGAGCGCGTCCAAAGTTTCTCAACATTTTTATTTAGACTTGCGCGTGGAGAAAGATCGATAATGAATAGAAATGTAAAAGAAATATGTATAGAAATTATGTAATTAGAGAAATATTTTGTGGAATACTATACAAAATGTGCAATATGGTATATTGGAAATAAATCTTTGGCTGCGAGAGTGTTTTTCGCAAGAATGACACTGCTGTATAAGCCAGTAAGCCGCCCAGTATTTGTCTTGAAAAATATTATCATTTTTATTAGTTAAAAATATTTTCAGATTATCCGATCATCATGAATAAAACTGTATTTAATTAGTTATAAGTGTATTATGCCTAAAGGCAGGTTGCATGAACTTTCATTCAGAATGAATTTTCTTTTTCATTAAAAAATAATCAATTCACTTTCCAATTGATGTCTTTCAAACATATTTATTATATCTGTTCTTGTATAAATTAAATTAATTTATTTAACAAATTTCATTTAATCCATTAATACTAACGAGCAAAATAAATATTAATCAATTAGATAAAGAAATGACTCTACTGATGACCAAATTAACTTATGTTGGCACAAAGAGGACTTTACTGACTGATATCATATTAAATATCAAATTGGATGATAAAGAAATAATTGTAAATCGACGAGCAAATTTATAAGTAACCTAAAAGACAAAAATAAGACAAGCGAATTTTGACGAGCAAATTTATAAGAATCTTAGAAAACAAAAGGAATATATTTTAGAACAATAAGACAACTATAATCAGTAGCAATCTACGAAACACAGAATGTGCATATGTTCGGCATAGATTCTGATTAGAATCACCTAAACGCACGGCGCGATTCCAAACTTTGATTCAACTACTTATTCTAGGCCTATAATATTTATAAATATTTATCTAAAAGATAAAGAAAGGGCTCTTCTGACGAGCAAATTAAAATCCCTATGTTGACACAAAGATGACTTTACTGACTGATATCATATTAAATATCAAATTGGATGATGAAGAAAGACCTGTAAATTGGCGAGCAAATTTATAAGTAACATAGAAGACAAAAATAAGACAAGCAAATTAAGTATAGACAGACCTGGAAGATAAAAAGGGAAATTTTGACGAGCAAATTTATAAGAATCTTAGAAGTCAAAAGAAGTACTCAACTGACTCTACTCCACTGAGTTTTAATTAAAAATTCATTTTATTTCAGTAAGAACAACAAGACAACTATAATCAGTAGCCATCTACAAAACGCAGAACGTACATATGGTCAGCATAGATTCTGATTAGAATCACCTAAGTCCTCATCGAAATACATCGAATGGCTTTTAAATTTTTTAAATCGGACCATCGGTTTTTTGAGAAATCGTCGACGAAAGGACAAAAACTGGCTCGCATATTTTTTCTAAATTTGGTCCCAAAAGATTCAGAATGACTTGAAACGTTTAGAATAGAAAGATAGTAAATCGGATTTTCTGGCGCACGCTTTAAGAAGTTAAAAATTAAAAAGAATACTTCTACAACCTAAAAATTATAATAAAAAATATAATTCTCAATAATTTAAGACAACACTGAAGCAAACTTCGTTACCGTGCAAGTCACCTATAGGCGACATTGGTACACACAGGTCGTCAAGAATAAATGTCGTCTATAAACGACGCTGATAGCAAAAAGGATAAATTTAATGTTCACAATTAAATGAAAACAAACTTTAATTTTTGAGGAAAGCAAATTGTTTTTCAATATTTCAAAACATTTTTTTTTTCAAAATAATATTTTTTAAAAATGTCGAAAATGATTCGGATTTTACTTTTAACTGTAAAATTCTAAAGCTCACTTATATACTTATTATAAATCATTTTAACTTTGCAATTAAATTTATATAATTCTCTAAAAAATGAGATAAGGTCCTTTATTTTAACTCTGATATATATGAATTAAAAATTACTTAATGTTTAGAAATGCCTGACAAAATTATTAAATGAAATACCATATAACTAAACAAACCGTAATAATCAAAACAAGATAAAAAAATCAGAATAATTAAACAACACTCTAAAAAAACTAAGTACTCATTCTATCATCATACAACCAATTTTCATAAAACAATTTCGGTAACTCTACATTCAGCTTTGCCTGAATTTCAAAATTCAATCTTCAAAAATGAAATAGTTCACATATTTTCCAATTCACAAAAAAATCTATTACACCAAACTCAAATAACTACTAAGAACAATTCAAACAATTATTTCACCATATAAAATACATGAGTCATTTCTACCAATGCAAACTAATTACTCTATTATAAACACAATATATTATATAAACAAAATTCCTTAACCACATGCTTGTTTGTAATGTTTTCAGATAGCTTCTGAATATAACAACATATGAGTGTGATTAGTATAAATCATAAATATAATAAAGGTATAGAAATTTATTTATTTTTTAAATACCTGAAGCATTTTTCAGCAGGTTAATGCATTCAACATTGCCTTCCCTTTCTGCTATATCGAGAGCAGTCATTCCTGATATGTCTTTGTCTGTAAAATTTGCTCCAAATTCTAATAGGCATTCTACGTTTCCTGCATGACCGTGGGCTACACTCATGTGCAGGGCCGTCTGGATAAGGGAAAATGGATTTTAGAAAAAATAGGACTGGACAAAGTAACTTTGAATAAAATTGGCTTACAGATTTGGTATCTGTTTAGAGCAAACACTTTTTGATTTTTGTATTAATTAATCATAGCTGATAAAAATAACTTGGTCAATTGAATAAAATTAGCTTTTATATCTGGTAACTGATAAATAGTCAAGAATACACTTCCTAATTCTTGTATTAATTATTCATAGATATTAAATATCTCATTAATGACTTTTATCGAATTATTGCTATAGTACTAGTTTTATATTATATAATTTTCTATTATCCTTACACAATTATCAGCTCTCGGTCCACATTTGCTGTTCGGATCAGCACCTGCTTGAAGAAGAATTCTTAAGCATCTTGAGTCTTCAGTTATTGCAGCAGCATGTAAAGGTGTTCGGCCCCAACTGTCTTGACTATTTATCATGGCACTTTGGTCGCCTTTAAGTAAATCTTCCAAAAGGTCGACATTGTCCCACAGAGCAGCCTAGAAAAAAAAGTAATAAATATAATAAATAAAATGAAAATATTAATTAGCATAAAGATAATATGTATAAATGTCCAGTTATACAAACTTATCTATATTATAATTTATTTTTATAAGCTCTTATAATTAGTATTAATTAACTTCCCGTAGGGTAAGTTATAGTAATCGTCCAAAAATCGAAATCAAAAAATTTTTACATTTCTCGACGTTTTGAAGGTTTCTGAACATTTTGGCATACTTCAGAAAAAATGGATGTGTGTGTGTGTGTGTGTGTGTGTGTGTGTGTTTTGTATGTCCGCTTTTTTTCGTCCACGTTTTCGGGCGCACCGATTTGAATGGTTTAAAAAACATTCGATTCCTATTGATAAGGAGATGTGCTGATTAGTTTTTGGCAAAGGCAGGTCCAGCCGTTACGGAGATATGGAGCAAAGAGTGCAAAAAATAGAAAGCGAATTTTTGAGAGAACGGATCAACCGATTTGAATGGTTTAAAAAACATTCGATTGCTATTGATAGGGAGATGTGCTGATTAGTTTTTGGCAAAGGTAGGCCCAGAGGTTTCGGAGTTACAGAGCTAAATTTAAAAAAAATGGCTGTTTTTGAGAGAACTAATCGTCCGATTTAAATGATTCAAAGAACTTTCTGCTTTTTTCAACAAAACAATTGATTTTGGAAAAAAAAATTTTTTGTTTCTAATTTTTTTTCAAAAAAATTTTTTTGTAATTTTGGACTAAAAATTCAAAAAATCACCCAAGCTAAGCACAGTCTAAGCGCCACTCTGGTACAAATGTTTACCCAAGTGCGTTTAGACTGTTTGTGTACTGGAGCACTTTTCCAATTTTGTGAAAATTATTGAAAAATGTGAAAATGCCGCCAAGCTGAGCACAGTATAAGTGAAAATATCGCACAGAATTATTTGCAAATGCGTTTAGACTGTGACTATGCGGGAGCACTTGTTCAATTTTGTGGAAATTTGGCAACTATTTTTTTTTTTTTGGAATTTGATTCGAAATGAAATGACGATTGTTAATGTTCTGGAGGTGATAAATTGATTTATTTATAATTAACTTTCCGTAGGGTAAGTTATAGTAATCGCACAAAAATCGAAAATGAAAATTTTTATATATCTTTACGTTTCAAAGGTTTCTGAATATATTGGCATACCTTAGAGAAAATTGATGTATGTGTGTGTATGTGTGTGTGTGCGTGCATTTGTGTGTGTTCAGATACAAATTTTCGTCGACGATTTCGGGAATCGGGATGAAGCAATTTGAATAATTCAAAAACATTTTACTTGCATTATCAAGATGAAGATTTGATGAAATTTTTATGAAATTAGGTCTAGCGGTTTCGGAGATCTAGTAAAAAAAGTAAAAAAAAATAACATTTGGCGGTCAACAATAATCATTAGACATTAGACATATGCACATCAAATTATCAGATATTTTATAGAGATTTTAACAATGAGTATACATTTTGTTAACATTCCTATGGGTTCCGTACCAATGCTTATGCGTTAGACAGCGACGCGGCGCTTACGCGCTTCGATATTTAGTCTCTATGCATTAAAGCAGTACGATTGCTTTGAAAAAAAGTTCAGAATTTCCAAAATATTTCAAAATAAATTTTTCAACAAAAAGTAAGTTTTTGTCAAAAATTTATATAGTTCCTCAAAAATCTATTTTTTTTAGAGTAAATTCTTTTAAAAAATGTTAATCTTTTCAAAAAAAAATAATTTTTGGTACGGGAAGTTCCAGCAATTTGCCTTAAGGCACGATGCCATGCGCCCCACTAGTTGATTATTAAATAATGAGCTAATCGATGAAATTTAAAATCTTGAGTACAAATAGAGATGCAAGTTATTATTAACTTCCCGTAGGGTAAGTTATTGTAATGGGCCGAAAATCGGAATTGAAAATTTTTACATTTCTCGACGTTTTGAAGGTTTCTGAACGTTTTGGCATACCTCAGAAAAAATGGATGTGTGTGTGTGTGTGTGTGTGTGTGTGTATGTATGTATGGATACAAATTTTCGTCCACGTTTTCGGGCGTACGGATCAACCGATTTGAATGGTTTAAAAAACATTCGATTCCTATTAATAAGGAGAAGAGCTGATTAGTTTTTGGCAAAGACAGGTCCAGCAGTTACGGAGATAAGGAGCAAAGAGTGCAGAAAATAGAAATCGAGTTTTTGAGAGAACGGAGCATCCGATTTGAATGATCTAAAAAACATTCCATTAGTAATGATTGGGAGAAAGGGTTATTAGTTTTTCGCAAAGGCAGGCCCAGCCATTTCGGAGATACAGAGCTAAATGTACAAAAAATGGCAGTTTTTGAGAGAACTAAGCGTCCGATTCAATTGATTCAAAGAACTTTCTGCTTGTCTTAACAAAATAATTAATTTTGGAAAAAAAAAATTTTGTACCATTTTTTTTTTTTTTTTTTTTTTTTTTTAATTTTTTGTATATCGAAAATAATTCAGATTTTATTTTTAATTCTGACTATAGTTCTAATATACTTTAAACAAATAATTTCAACTCTGCAATTCAGTTTATATAATTATTATAAATATTAGACAATAATACAATATTTATAATAATCTATCTGAAAACATTCAATATTCCTCGAACGTTTCGTTACGGTACGGGAAGTTCCAGCAATTTGCCTTAAGGCACGATGCCACCCACCCCACTAGTTAAAATTAATATTAAAAAAAAATGTATACAATAAGCCAACAAATACAAAATTTAGAAAAATCACACAATAACAATTTATTAGTGAATTTTTTTGTTAGAAACAATTGTCTATATTTTGATATATAACAGAATGATGGATTTTTTTCCTTATAAGCATTTTAATATATTAAATGTATATAAAAATAATTGCTAGTTTTATTGTGAGTTTCCAGCAAGTTTTTTTAAACCAAAAAACCATCAGATATACATATCATAGCTTTGCAATTTTCATATCATATCCTGGTAAATCCTTGTAATTTATTTCTTTAATATCTGGTATAAAAATAAATTCCCAACTAGTATATTTTTAAATTAATACCTTTTTGATATTTATATAACAAAATATAATTCAATAATTATACATTAAAAAATCACCTAGTTGAAGAAACTTTAAATTTTCAGTACAAATAGAGAAACAAATTATTATTATTAAAAAAAAAAACAGATAAACAAATATAGTGCAAAAATACAATGAAAAAGCATACAAATACAAAAATTAGAATAATTGCACAATAATATTTTAATGACTAAAATTATATTCTTATTAAAATAAATTTAATAAATTATAATTTCAAAGTCTTTAATAAAGCAGTATGTTTTATATTGTATGAAAATTTACAAAATTGAGTTAAGAACAAAAATAAAAACTACAAATTTCTTACACACACACACACATATATATATATATATATATATATATATATATATATATATATATGTAAATTTATAAATTGTATAAAGAATTTTGCATTTGAAATTTGTGGGTGTAAACAAATTATAAAACTTCTTGACATTTTAGACAAAATTCAGAAATTGCATTATATTATATTTATAAAAACAATGTTTAATTCTATTATTATTCTATTTATCAATTTATTATTATGACCTGGTGAAGGAGCCTTCCAGGAATATCGTCCTCCGGGGACCAATCCATGTTTCATATATATATTATCACAATTACACGCACATATTTGAAACTGAAACTGATTTAATATATAACATATCGATAATTGTATTAAATTAACGCATTATTTATAATATCAATATAATATTCGACATGTTTACACGGACTGCACAACTCGTATGTTTGTTATGTCAGTGAGGTTAGTTTCGAGTTCGACTTTCGAGTGAGCAGCTGTCAAAATTGACATATTTGACAGTAAAAGGAAAATGGAGGATGGAAGATGGCGGTCAATTCAAATAATAAAATAATAACTCATATCTGTAATTGTATAAACTAAATTCATTTGTTTAACACATTTTATTTTGTTCTCTAAAAATGTATTTCTAAAAGTTTGGTATAACCAAAATCGTCGACAAAATTCAAACTATTAATTACAAAAAACGACCAGACTGATATTTACCAAAAACTAATCAATTTATGTTTGAATAACAATTTATAAATATATTGTTATTTTATAAAAAAAATACACAAATTGCATTATTGCAAAATATATTCAATTTTTTTGAGCTCGTGCCTACATCGTTTTCATTATTTTTTTATAAAAATATAAAAAAAAATACTAAAAAATCAGTAACAATATAAAAATAAATACATTTCTTTATAAAAGTTCTGGCTGAACAGCAAACCGTAGTATTAAACATCCACTCCTTGTTGATGCGTTTTCAAATCCTAATTAAAATATAATATTTGTCCAAATAGTTAGATGTTTTCCATATAAAAGGATGTTCATATTTAACTCTGCCATCTGGATGTTCCTTTTTTTTGTTTTTTTTTCTCTTAAAGGTCGATCGAAAAGGAAGTACTCATTTCTCGTTAAAACCAAACCGTCACGAATAATCTTAACATGCTGATGGAAAAAACGATAAACCTAAGCATTTTATAAATTATGTCAGCCACTTACAGGCAGAGTGTTCGTGCGAATCTTTTTAAATTATAACAATAAATCATTTTTAATATAGAAAATATTTTGTGTTTGCTCTGAACACATAAATTTTGTTCAAAACGCATCAATTATCCGCCAGAGTTTCTTTTGATCGTACATTTCTTCTTCTCCACGGTCTGAATTTTTAATGTAAAGTTTGTACTTGGTTCCGAAATGTGTGGGTACTTGTTTAATTTTTTTTATTTTTGATAAATGCAGCTCTGGCGTAAGAGATTTTGTGATCCAGCAGTAATTTGCGGAGACCCTGCTTCAATTTAGTTGAGCAAAATCGACAAAAAAGTGGAATGGCAAGTGCTGCTTCCTATCGCATGATGAGTCCTGGAAAGGATATAAATTACTAAAAGTTCGCTTAGTATAAAAACTGAGTTTCCAAAGTAGCGCGTTATTGGAGGGTCAAAAAGTCAAATGTTTAAAATTTGCATAAACCTTATTTGCCATAGGTTTTTTTTCCCCCATCAGACCTCGACGCACAGCGACCTCGCAGCGACTGCAAGCACTGAGCAAAATAGCGACAGAATGGACGCAAACACCGCCGGCGTCACCAGGATTCGGCGAGATCGTCCTTTGCGTCAATCACAGCCGCATTTCGGCTTCTTCGGCGGTTTGCAGCAGCATCCGCAGCACGGCGGAGGCGGGCACGGAGGTGGGCACGGCGGAGGACACGGCTCAGGACGGCAACCGCAACCCTAGAAAATTAATAAAAAAAATATATCAAAATAAATAAATAAAACCAGTTTCAATTCAAACATATAAAAAGCTATCCATTATTTACCTGTGGTGGCGGTCTCTTAATCTTTTTCCTCTGGTCCTGGCAGCACACGCTCTGGGGTTCATGACAGTTGCATTCCTGGAAGGCGTTCTTCTGCAGAGGCTCCCTCACGCATTCCCTAAAGCACGGATAAGGGGGCAACACCTTGCAGCAGCGCTCAAATTTTCGCAATGTTTTGCGGACACAGCGCTTGTGCTGGGCTGGTTTGCAACCAGGCATGCAAATCTGGAAATAGCGATATTTAAATGATTAAATTGTATAGAATACAAAGTCCTAAAAATTAAATAACAACGTCTTTTTTATTGCAACAATTTATTTGTGTTAATCTTATATATAAAAATAGATCGCAAAATGCGTTGGTAAGCGCATAACTCAACAACGCCTGGACCAATTTGGCCAATTCTTTTTTTTAAATTTTCGTTGAAGTCAAGGATGGTTCTTACGGCGAGAAAAAATCGAATACTTGCTGGAAAACTCTAAAAACAGCTCTTTTCTTTTTCACACGCAGACGTTTTCTAACTAAAACGTAGAATCGATTCGAGTTTTAATTTTTTTATAATTCGTAAATAAATAGGAGAATTAGAGAATTTATAAAAGTAGAGAAAAGAACTGGTAGATAGACGAATATCGAGACAAATAAACAGGTTGACAGGTTAATTGGTAGACATTCAGAACGGGATGGCAGGTAAAGTACTTATTGGTTGACAGGTAAAATAGTGTATTGATAAACAGGTTGATAGGCAAATAGGTTGACAGATAAATTGATAGACAGGTGAATTGGTAGACAAGTAAATTGGTGAAAAGGTAATTTGTTGGATAGCTGGTAGTTAGGTAAAATGGAGAGTATGTAAACTGGTAGATAGATAGATAACAAGACGGATAAACAGGGTGACAGGTAAATTGGTAGAAATGTGAAACAGGTTGATAAGTAAATAGGTTGACAGGTAAATTGGTAAACCGGTAAAATGGTAGATTGATTAACAAGTTGATAGGTAAATTCGTAGACAAATTGTTGAACAGATAGTAGTAACATTAAAATATATGTAACAAATACACATCTTTGTTCAACTAAATCACGACAAAGCGTGAACGGGTACAGCTAGTCTATAATATAAAAATAAATCGCAAAATGTGTTGTTAAGCGCAAAACTCAAAAACGCCTGGACTATTCTTTTTTTCAAAAAGTTCGTTGATGTCCAAGGATTTAGTTCTTACGACGAGAAAAAATCGAATAATTGCCGGAAAAACCCTAAAAACAGCCTTTTACTTCTCCACATACAAACGTTTTCTAACTAAAACGTAAAACACTGCCACATTACAAATTGTTTTGGCAGGACGAAGTCTGTTATGTCAGCTAGTCAAAAATAAAATAGAAAAGGTGCTGAAAATATTTAAAAATATGCAATCAAATCAAATCAAATGTCTTATCTACTAAAGGCAAATGATTATATAAAAGTAATTACATTCAAACCTTGACACACTTCGTTTTGGGCTTGGGCGGATCCTCAATGCAACACATACTACCTTTGCCCGGAGGAGGATTCTCACATGGTTGATCAGGGCTCTGATAAGTATTCATCCTAGCAGACGTATGTAATCCTTTAGCACCTGGTGGCACCTTTGGATTTGCTGGATCTGCAGCAGCTTTACCGCCAGCAGCTGGTGCGGGAGCACCACTGTTGGCAGCAGCTGGAGCAGGAGGGCTCGCTTCTCCTGAGACAGGTTTGGGCGTTGTGCTACCCCCAGAAACGGGTGCTGTAGTAGCACTTCCACTTGCGACGGGTTTTGGTGCACTTCCGTCCCCTGCAACAGGTTTTGGTGCTTTTGCATCCTGTGCAACGGGTTCTGGGGTAGCAGAGGCTCCAGCAATGGGTTGTTGAGTGCCACTGCTTCCAGCGACGGGTTGTTGAGTGGCACTACCTCCTGCAACGGGTGTCGGAGTGTTTTCTGGAATGGTTGCCGAAGGAGCAGCACTGCCGCCGCTTGCGACGGGTGTTGGAGCTGCGGCTCCGCCTGCCACAGGCACCGGGGTAGGAGCAGCAGGTGCATCTGGAGTTTTTTGAGTGGCAGGAGATTCGGTTTTAGGTGAATCTTTGGCGGATTTCTCCGCAGGAGCCTGAGAAGGTGCATCATTCTTTTTCCTGATTTAAAAATGAAATATTGGAGATTAATATTGTAATATTAACAATAACAAGCAAATCATTCTTACGATTGTAAAGTCGAAGCACTGGTATGGAAGGGTTGACCAGGCTTCTTGCGTTTTGGCTTCTCTGGATAACATGGGGGCTCCGTTCCCTTTTCGCAACATACCTTGGGACACTTTGGCGGTTTGTTCACCTGGATAAAGTAAAATCAATTAATTTCAAACCAATTTTCAGGTATAATGCAATTTGAAGTTTTTACTGACCAAGCATCTCTTGTACTCGTACAAGGGGTCTCTCTCACACTCTGCTAGCTTGCGGGGTCTTCCGTAATAGCATGTCTTAGGTTTGGGCGGCTTGCAAGCGTTGTCATCTACGCAACACACTTCGCAATCTTCTTTGTTCAATTTCTATTAAAAATAAACAAAATATAATAAGAATAAACAAAGAAGTAAAAGAAAAAAAATAGGTTTAAAATGTGGATAATATCTGGTATTCTCTTTGATTGTTGACCATGGTCACATATATACCATTATATATATGTATATATATAATATATAATATATTTAATATAATATAAATATATAATATATTTATTTATTTATATATATTTACCTTGCATTTGCCCTTCTTCTTTTTGCAAGAAAATGCGCAACATGTCTGCGTCGGACTCGCAGCATTCTGAGGCTTCAAAAGACCCAATTCCTAAAAAATAAAAAAATAATGCAAAATCAGTATTTATAAATAAATATTTAATTCAATTTTAAAATATTGTAATTAACAAATATAATTACGATATTAAAACCTTATAGAAAATATAATATAGACAGATTTATAAAATAATTATGAAGAGAGAAATAAAAACTACAAACAAAGGATTGATAATTGAAATTTAAAAAATATAAAATAAATTAATAAGCTACGGAGTTATAAAAATGAATAAAATTACAAAAACATATCAGTTTTATAAAAACTCTGTTAAAATATTCAAATAGTTTAAATAAGTAACCGTAAACAAGACATTAACAAAAAAAATAAAAGTAAATTCACATTTCAAGAAAATGTTAAAGGTTAATATTAAAATCAGAAATTCGTTAAATCTAAAATAAAATAATAAAAAAATAATTATAAATTTAAAACTATATTGAATGTTAAAAGCAAATAATTTATAAACCTTAAGTAATAAATAAAATAAATAAAATTTAAAAAATTTAAAAATGTTGACAAACCTGTCATTCACAATTTGAACAAAAAAATTTAAAACCCAACTAAAATTTCAATATAAAATATTAAAAGTAAACATGTAGAAAATAAAACGTTTTAAATTTACAATACCCCTTTAACAATTTATTTCCACTTGTCATATAAATTCCCCAAGTTCCATTTCAAAAAAACGCAATTTTTCAAAAAAATTACCTGGTACGTTTTAGCCGTCTTCAAACCATTGCTCACTAATTTCAGGGCTCCAGAGAGCATTTCGATGTTTTAATATATTTTTTTGCCGATGCAGGCACGAATTTTGTAATTTAAAATTTTTTTTGTAAAATATTTTTTTAGAATTTTGTGTAATGCTTTTTTTGTTTCTGCTACCCAGGCATACTGTGATCTGGTATTTGGAAATATGATGGGCCTACTGCGATCGTAAAAATTACAATGTTTTGGGAAACAATCATCGGATTTTGAATCTAGTTGGCTGTAGAAGTATAATTAGTGAAGAAATTGGTGGTAAATGCAAGATAAATCAAACTATTTATATTTAAAAGATATATGTTGAAAATCCTGCTCCACAGCAACTTGTTTTACTTATAAATCACCCATGGATTAATATATTGATTTCATATTGATTATTTGTTCATGAACCTTGCTCAGGGAAAAATGCTTTTTACACCAAGGTTTAATTGTATTTTAATTTTATTACCGAGTCCGACTCGCTCGTCAATCAGCAAACTGCGATAATTTATTTCAAAATGTTTTCCAAACAAAAGTCCATTCGAAAATCGACAATGCCATGATTTTTCATAAACAAAACAGGGTCAGGTCATTTCCGAACCAAAAATCAAAAACGGCCGCAAAATGTTGAGTTGAAAAAATAAAAAACTTTAAAACCCAAAAAATATTCTATACCAACAACAAAATTACAAAAAAAATAACAAAATTCAAGTGAAACAAGGAAAAGCAAAGGAATCAAAAAAGAAAAGCGGAAAAAAATATAAAATTTTGTGAAATTTCACGATGTTCGCCGCATCGTTGAGGGCACTTTGCGCATCGTTGAAAACGGCCAAAATTTCGGTAAGCGATAATAATAATAATAATAATATATTATATTAAATATCACTTACTTAATAAAATTTTAAACACATGACGTTTCACGGTACGAATAAATATAAACTCCAATGCTTAAATATTTAAACAAATATTTGTTATTGAAGTGAAAATATGGCTGTTCAGGAATCAATACTATACTTAATACTTTAAATTTATGTATTAAAATACCTTCATTTCATTTCATAAGAACAATTAAGTACTGACGCACAAATTTACAAAGAATAATTTGTCTAAATATTTTTTTAATTTATTTATTAGTAATTGATAAATAAATATTTATTAATTATTTAAACAAGTAGGATTTGAAATATTAATAATAATTTATTTGAATAAATAATATTTTTTTAATTTATTTGAATTAATAACAATTTATTTAAATGCTGACATTATTTTATATTGAGCATTTCTTTATTATTTATACAAATTATATTTAGAATATTTGCTTAAATACTGTATTAATTATTTAAACAAGTTATATTCAAAATACTGATAATAATATATTTAAATAATTAATATTTTAATAGATATAGATACTGATTTTCTTAATTTTTTTATTAAATTGTGTAATAATTTGTTTTTTTAAATGTATTTTTTAATTATTTATAAAATTTATTATTAATATATTATTAAATTATAATATATAATAATAATTAATAAATAATATATAATAAATAATTAAATAATATTAATAATTTATATAAACAGTTTTTAAACGAATTATTATAAATATTTTAATAATTTGTATAAATAATTACTAAATACAGTATAATTTAAATAATTACTAGACTAGTGGTGCATGACATCGTGACTTAATATAATTTGCTGGAACTTCCCGTACCATAAAATTTGTGAATTTTTTTTTATATTCAAAAATTTTGAATTTTTGAAACGCTGCGTTGCAATTATACAGTTAAACATTATAAATCTTGGTACGGAACCCAAATAAATGTAAAGAAAAATTGTACATTTTATTAAAATCTTTATAAAATATCTGATAATTTGTGATGAATCATTTTTTAACCAGCAAATGGCATTTTTTTGTTGGATCTCCAAAACCGCTGGACCTGCCTAATGATCATTTTTAACCAGCAAATAGCATTGTTTTTATAGGATCTCCAAAACCGCTGGACCTGCCTTAACAAACAAAATTTTAATCAGTTCTTTGTTTCATCAATACGAATAAAATGTTTTTTGTATCCTTCAAATCAGTGCTTTAGAAATCGACACATCAATTTTTTCTAAAGTATGTCAAAATGTTAAGAACCCCTTGAAACTTAAGACATGCAAAAAATTTCATTTTTGTTTTTTTTTGCGATTACTATAACTTATCCCGCGGGAAGTTAATAAAGATTTAAATTAATTAATAGTTTAATTGACTAAAAATATCCAGCCAGTTACCTTTATTATCCATTCGAATTGTATGGGGTATTAAATCAATATAATTTCCAGGAGCCTACCCGTCTGCTGCAAGGATACTCCTCTCGCCTCACCTCGACAATTGCCGCCCCTTCAGGAAAATGCCAGCAGCAGGTGCAGGTGCTGCCGCGGACCGGATTTGCCGGGATGCAGCAGATCAACAGGTAAAATATATATATACTGCTGGAAAATAAATAAAACTTAGTAGTAAATAATAAAATATAACTAGGGGACATAAAATAATACCAAAACAACAAATTTTATATGAATTATGCAATACATTTTGAATTTAAAAATAAATTGTAAAAAAATGTTACGTTGATAATTGTAAGGTGACCATACGTCCCTTTTTTCCCACTTGCGTCTCGGCTTTTTAAAAGCAATATTTGTCCCGGATTTTTAAAAATGTTTTGGTTGCCAATATTTTTAAATATATTTCAACTAGAAAATTTTAACAGAAAAAAACTGCATATAAATTTTTAGTTTATCAACATACAAACCCCGCCCCCTTCCTCCCGTTTCACATATATTATAATCCGTGCCAGTGGCGTCGGAACTAAATTTTTGATGGGTGAACTCGTTTTTTTTTTTTAGATAGACAGCCAGTGGTCTCGATTTTTTTTAGAGAGATAGTAGCCCATATAATTTTTTGAAATTCATGGGTGGGCTGAACCCCCCATCAAAATTCATGGGTGGGCTCAAGCCCACGCAGCCCCTGCGGTTCCGACGCCACTGTCCGTGCCGGATTTCATGCAAAAAATATGGTCACTTTGACTAAAATTATCAAAATTAATAGTTTTTTAAATTATATTAACATAAGCGAATGCAAAATAATATTAATTAATAATTAATAATTTTTTAAATATTAATATTTATAGATATTGTGACGACGCATGTGGTCGCAAATGCGAGAAGGTGCCTCCGCCTTCTTGCGATTGCCCTTCGATTTGCCCGCCGAAGCAGCGAGTGCTGCCCTGCAGCAATAAGAAGCACGTGTGCAAAAAACCAAAATGCATGGAAAAGGATAAGGTAATAAGAAAATTGCTAAAACTTATATTTCATTTTATTTCATCCTTTATCATGTTGCCTAATTTAAAATTTGTGTATATTTTTACTTTCATGGTTATGAATATCGAAATTTGTATCAAGTATCTTTAATAATTTACCTCTATCTATTACAGGAGCCCCGTGCTATCCCGAAAAACCCAAGCGCAAGAAGAAGGGACCGCGTTACATGCACACCATGGCAGGTGCTTCTGCGCCACTTTTGGAGAAAGCAGTAGCGAGCACTTCGGCCGACGCCGGAGCTCCGACAGGAACCCGCGCCTTCCATACAGCAGGACCCCTGATGGCCTATCAGAGCCCCATACAGCCCTGCAACAATCCGCCTCCTGGAAAGGGAAGCATGTGCTGCCAGAAAAAAGAAAAGGGGTTGAAGCAGAAGAAATGCAAAAAGGTAAAAAATGGTAAAAAAACCACTTTTATTGATTTAGCACAGTGATTCCCAACCTTTTTTGGGCCCCGCCCCCCCCACCTTGAGGGTTTATAAAACGTATGCCCCCATACATTTTTTTTTTCTTTCAGAAAAAATGTAAATGATAACTTTTAAGATGAAATCGCTATTAAATTGTTATTGAAATCATAAGTAAAATTTCGGAATAAGCCAACATACGGAAATTTCAAACTAATTTTACTACTGTTTTCTTCGAAATGTATTTAATGCAATACTTAAGCTAAAACAAAGAT